AACGTCATATCTGAATAACGTAACGTCATATCCAAATACCGCAATGTTATATCCATATGGAGTAACGTTATATCCAAACAACGTAACGCCATATCTGAACAACATAACATTATATCCAAATAACGTAACGCTATATCGGAATAACGTAACGCCATATCCAAATAACGTAACGCCAAATCGTTAACGTTAACGTTTGATAAAATGTTAATGTACGGCCAACGTCGTTACGTATACTCCTTACCGAGAAACAGGCCAGTCACAAGGCCAGCCACATGGTTATGTTTCCATGCACCAAAGACACCACCAGCAGCAAAGCCTCCGATCAGATAATTTAGTCTAGAAATAATGGTGATCAATTAATAAACAACATTCCGATGCATGGCTACTTAACTCACTTATCATCCTTTCCGCGAATATTTGTGGCAGCAAGCGTAGTTACCGTAAATGCTGTAGCCATGCCCATCAGTGGACCCGTATTGTAGGCGAAGCGTCCCAGTGTGGGTATGTAGCCCTGCGGCTTGGTGAGAGTTAACACGTCAAATGTTGACCACGCCAAACCGGCGGCAATGGCGTATCTGTTTGTGGCCACAATCTTTCCAAAGGCATCTTCGCCATCGGGATAGTCGTAGTATTTCGAACGTAAGATCGACATATTTGCCTAGATGCAAAATAAATGTATGTAAATAATAATCGCATATGTGTGCCAACGATGTTGTCCACGGTTCTAGCATTAGCCAAGAGTTTTTATATTGAGGTTTGGACATCGCGATTTAGCTTAAATATTGATCCACAGATTTTTTATTTTGCTGGACTATTTTTTGAACGATTTATGCTTTAAAGCTTAATTTACTAACCTGCCGAATTTACGTAATTATTTCTGAACGAAGAATTATTTGACAAAACAGCTGTAGATCAGTGTGTACTTATTATAAAAAAGGTTAAATACGAAAATACCAAAAAATACAAATGGTAACAATATAAATCCCCGAATATTAAGAAATTTTGATAATGTGTTTACTTTTTATTTCGATATCGATTGAACAAGTATTAGATTTTTAATTTTTTTACATATTAAAGAAATAGCACACTTTTTCTTACAGTTCCAAAACGAGCATAACATTAATGGAATGAAATCAGATAAATCGATAAATTTGTAGAGCTGCCGCCAATTTAAAGTAATTGTTAGAAACTAAATATTATGGAATATAGATTTAAATAGAATATATTAAATGGAAACTATAATGCATAATCTTTCGAATGTATATTAAATTAAGTCACTAACCAAACAGTAATTAAATGCAACTTAAAATCGATATCAATATTATTTATTCGATTGTCTGAACAAATATTTACTTCTCTCCAAAACTTGACGATAGTCTACAAATATTTGCATCTGTTAGTCTATATTTACTTTTCAAATATTTGAAAAGTTACTGAAATAAATTTAATTTTTTCGCCAACCTATATTTAACCAATAATTTATTCAATATCCGCAACAAAGTTGGATTTTCTTTATCAGCACTAAACTAAGAATTTATATCCAATTATTCTGCAGCGCCGTAAGCCGGCTATAAATATAACTGGTATGTTAAAATTACATTTTAGATATGTTTACTAACATAAGCTCTTCCTGTTAACAGCAGCTAGAATTTGTATCTAAATTTATATCTAATATACCTTATGGAAGTTGTCTGTCTGAAGACAATATTAACAACGGAAATGCTTGTTTAAATGAATTAAGAAGACGAAGACGAGACAAGACAAAAAACAGATGAGCTCATTACAATTGAACTGCACTTAAACAGCTTAAACAATTTTATTAATTACAATTTATGACTTGAATTTATCTACAAATAATAATTTAGGCAATGGCAACGCTTTGGGTCTTTTACATAGTTGTATGTACGTGCCAGCGCGAGCTTTGTTATATTTTGTGCAATGATCAAATAAATTAAAAATGAGCTACAAACTAAACAATTAGCACGTACAAAACAAATTGCAATTTGATGAGAATTTTTTGTTATTTTTTGGGTGTACAATGGGACGACGCTTCACATGTTTGCCCTCTCGATTGCTTAGCTATTTGGACTTCTTGGACTCCACTGGCGGCTGCTTTTCGACAGACTGCTTGTAGAGCTGATTTAATCCAAAGCAAGCTCTCACATTATCGCTGGAGAAGAAAAACTTTTGCAATTTTCCCTTGGCATCGCCGCAAGGACGACGATCCACCTCCTTGCCCTGCTGGAAGAGTATCACAGTGGGCAACTGTTTCGAGAAGCTGCTGTCCGAGATGTGATACTTGGCCGCTACGTCAGGGAAGCGTCCAATATCGATTTTGCCAAATTTCAATAAATTCGCATTATATTCCGCCGACAATTCAGCAAAGATCGGTGCAAAATTTACGCAGCTCGGATTCCAAACAGTGTAGAAGCATATTAACCAGCTAACCTTCTTATCCCTTACCAGCTCCTCCTCAAAGGTTTTGGCATTACGGAAATAGGTTATGTGCTCTGGGCCACTATATGATGGCTCCGGCAGCAGCATTCCAACGAGCACGCATATCAGCAGAAAGCCCAAGCCATAGCGAAAATCTGCATAGGCCCATAAAATCATATTCGCGACTTTTGTGTAGAGAAACGACGAGGTCAAATAGTTGATCATGGTGACACTGCCCGTTTTTCGTGAGCGTATCATCACAACAATCATCAGAAAGAAGAGTATTTCCACTTCACGGCTATCCATGTCGCAGACGTCCTCCTCCTGGTTTGCATTCTGGAAAAGGCGCGTGCAAATCACTTTCGTCTTCTTTGACACCAGATACGAAACGGCCAGCAGTATATTAACCCAGTAGTAAGGTTTTGCCAGCACTTTCAGCTCCTTTTTCCATGACATCGTTTAGTAATGTGTCGTTTTTCTATCTGGGTCACCTTTTTAATTAACAACTTCCCGTATTTTATTTTTTTGTTGTTAGCTAATTTCGGCGACGAACAACCTGAACGATATTCAGCTACTCTATTAGTACTGCTATGCGCGTAACAGAATTCTGCTAAGTCAAAAAGTGCCAGCAGCTGCTGCTCAATAAGCACTGTTATAAAATTGCAAGAGACCAACAGCTGTCATTAAACAGTGCTGTAAGTGTAATCAAAAGCCGAACCCGTTACACTTAAAAATAAATTCAAATATATTGTTTAGTGGAATTATTGGAAACATTTGTCTAAATAGAAGTTAATCTCATGTGTTTCTTTCTCTCGTCTTATTTTGCAGACATAAGGTCAATATGCCGCAGCTGCTGCTAGACTAGCCGAATTCTGTTCACCTTAATTCTGCCACCTTAATACGAAACATTTCAAATTGAATATAAACTACTTCAAATGTAATTTCAAGGGCCAGGTTAATTAATATATTTTTATTTGTTTACATGTCTTTCAAACAAACAATTAATCTGATATACTATATTTTGATTGTAGAGCAATTATAATGTCTTTTGATAGCCTTGCACACTACAAGACCCGCCTAATCTATCATTCAGCATGTGTTGTTCGTATAATTCTATACACATATATATAGGCTGTACTCTAATCAGGATTAATAATCATTCTACGTGACTGCGGACGCTCGTGGCTAGACAAGCAATTAAGTGTCACAATTTTGGGCAACCTCCTTTATTTTTTGTATATTTTGTTTATTACTTTTTTGCAAACAAACTTTGCTGATTGCAGGCGGGAAATGATGCATGCATTTTAGCTATAGTCAGCAAATCGCTCGTCACAGACTTGCACATCTGACTTAAGTGTATTTTTACAATTATCATTTATAATGCTCTCAATAAAATATTGCAAATATAGTACATACAAAGCATTTCCATGAGCCTGGCAACAGCGCAACGAACAATGTAATCAACTTTTAATATAATTATTACAAAAAAGAAAATTGTGTCACAGGGATATTTAAGAATATTTAAGTAATTATAGAGAATTTAAATCGGAATCGTAATATAAAGCAATATAATTTTGTTTTTTTACTTTAAATATATTTTTTTTTACATTATAAACAATCACACAGCTGGTAAACAACTACTAAATAAACAAAACAAAAAAGTCAATATATATTAGTAAGGTCAGTAAATGCATCAGCAGGCATATATGTATGTATATAGCTATATACATATGTCTATATGTCTGATCTGATTTTTTACTTGAGTACAGATAGACTCGAACCGGTTAAAATCGGTTCTGTTGTCGACTTCCCATGGACCGACTTAAGATAGAGCTGTCCATGGGCTACGTTCATGGCCAAGCGAATAAGAAATTCATAAAAAATAAAAAAATAAAACTTCTTTGCTAGACAACATCTGACAATAATCTTATCACATCAGATTCGAAGATAACTATTTGTTGTGCCAACACTTTTTTAAAGGTTGACAGATATATTATTATTATTTTTTTTAATTCTCTCAAGCTACTAACTGCGCAGTTAGGCTGAGCGTGTGATTAGAAATTAATTTAAATTGTTTGATTCGCTTATCAAGCATGTGAACAAAAGTCGAAATGTCTAGTTCAAATATATGTGTGTACAGATGTATATACTTATTTGGAAAACCTGCCTCCAATAAAAAGAAAAATCCAGCAAGAGACCTCATGAGGCATACACACTCTCTCCTATAAACAAAATGGCGTCAATAGCTGATCTCAATATGGGTCCCTCTCCCTTTTATTCTCCCTCTTTCTCTCAGTCTCTCCATCTCTCTCTATTATCAATCTCCAGCTGTCTGTTTGGGAGCTCTATAAGTTTCAGCTGAAGCTTAGCCTCCGATTCAGTTCTGTCTTGAACCTACTTTGTGTTGCGACTACAATTTCAACAAGCTCTTACGCTACAGAGCGTCGAAATCTATATAAACGTGCATTTTTTTAAATGCCGCGCAAAGAATTGTGCAAACAAAACTTTTGAAAAGCGAAATCGAATAATATATTTTGGCTAAGCCAAAGGTGTTTACAAAAAAACGGTGCGAGCAAATTTGTTACAGCCACAAACGTTAAATTTTGAATGGTGCCAGTGTTAGCTAACGACTCGAAAATTGCTAAATACACTTCCAAAATCTATACTAAATCTAACAATCGCAGCAAGCTGCAGCTCGCACAGCTATTTTTCATAATCAACCATTTCAATTTAAACTGTAAGTTTTCTCCGTTTTACCCATGTACATTTTTTTCGAATTTTATAAATTTTTTTTTAAATAATTTTTTTTTTTTTTAGTTGTCGAAATGGCTTTGCCGCAGGGAGCCTATGCGGCTTGTAAATTACGTGAGCAGTTCCAGGAGAAAGACATGATTGTCTCACGCCTAAGAGCTGCGAACATTTCTGATAAAATTGACAATAATGCACGTAAGTGGAGGAGATGATGAGATAGTGATTGAGAGTGTTGGAGAGAGTGATTGAGCAATATTATTGTTTTATTTGTAGAGCGTGAATATTCGCCGGCCAAGTACAATGATAAGCTAATGAATTCCATTTGGGGCCTCTACAATCGCTATTCGCCACACAATGTCAAGAAGAACGAGTACGCCCCGCCCAAATTCTAATTAAAACTGGCGGCGCAACAGCTGTAAGTAATCAAGATCATGTATGACCGACTGCATAATGCTCGTTCGCAGTTCGTAGTATAAATATTTCTTAATTTTCAATTCGTATTGCCATCGTGGATGAATTTTATAGTTCATGGATCTGTGTATTGATAAGCTTATCAATCGCTCATTCGGTTTTAGTCTGGACACACGTAGACCCACGCCTTCAGTGAACGTCTATGCCTAATCTGAAAATTTTCTAAAACAGCAGTTTTTATATTGGAAGCCATATATTATATGAAATTACTATCAATTATTCATATATTCTTAAAAAAAAGAAAAGCTTCAGTTTATCTTATATTATTATCATCAATTATAATTCACTATCTTCAGTTAAATGTAGCATATATTTTATATGCATACATATTTAAAATTTATTCCAAATTAATGCAATTATTAAAGTAATCTATAATACCTGTAGCTTATCTTAGTATATTCTCATAGATATTTTCATATTTCTCATTATATAT